AGACGGTGGTCCGGTTTTGCGCGCACGAGAAGGAGATGTACGACCGGGACACCCTCATCACCGCCACGCGGGAGGAAAAGAACAAGTTAGAGAGCTACATCCTCGAGTACCGCGGGCAGCTTGGCGAGGGCGGCGGGCTCGCCGACTTCGTCGCCCCGTCGGATCGCCAGCAGTTTCTCCGGCAATGCGACGACGACGAGGCGTGGTTGTACACCGAGGAGGGGGAGCGGGCGAGCTGGGAGCAGTACCACGCGCGCGTGGGCGCGCTCCAGGCGATTGCCGGGCCCGCCGTCGCGCGGCGTCGCCTCCGCGAGGAGGTCGAGCAGGCCTTTGAGGGGCTTCAACACCGCATGGAGGCGGCCGCGCGGCAGGCGGTCGCCGGGATCGGCAAGGCCGCGCACATCACCGAGGAGGAGCTCCGTCAGGCCGCTGCGAGCGCCGAGGAGGCCCTCACCTGGGGGCAGGCGAGGTTGCAGGAGCTGATGGCGACCCCGAAGACGGTCGACGCCAGCATCACCCCGGCGGAGTTCGAGAAGAAGGCGAGCACCGTGGAGGGGAGCCTTCGCGCGATCCTCAGCCGGCCGCCGCCGCCACCGCCGAAGTCGGAGGAAACCCCCGCCCCGGGTGCCGAGAAGCAAAATGAGGAACCCGAGCAGGCCCCGCAGTCGGGGAATGAGGAAGCATCCACCGCGGGAACCGGGGGGGAGCCTAGCCAGGCCTCGCCGTGTGAGGAGGAGAAGGCGTGAGCATGGAAGCGGGTTGGTGTTGGTGGTGGTGGAGGGGCGAGGCGGAGATGCTGAGCACTTTGTTTTAGGCAGTGGGAAAATGGAAAGGAATGTATTCGTGAATTAGAAGGGAGGGAAAGAGGTGGGGAGGGGAGGGGTATTGCTATCCTTTCCTCCCCCTTTCTCCTTTTCCACACTCCACTTAAAAGAGTAATTATTAAAACCTAGCCGTTGTCGAAGAGCTAACTTAATGTGATTTTATAATAATATTAGGACCTGAACCAGTGATATGAGAGGAGTGCTTCAGAGCAGAGGGAGGAGAAGGGGGGGGGGGGGGGGGAGGGGTATTGGCTCTATTACATATGCATTCACGGAGCAAGACAGGCCCCCCTCAATGTAGCCTTGTTTGGGGTTGGAAAGCAAAACGGAAGGGAAAATGAAACCCTAATACCTATCACCATGGGCATATTCAAAGAGAGATAGCAAAGGGAGACCCATAGGTAACGTAGGTATATGGAACGAGGATGGCGGGATGAATAAGTGTGCGATACATTTCATTGCGGAGCGTTTGACTCATCACATTCTACGTGATCTAGGGAAGGCTATAGCGGCGGTGTGAATGGTCCAATCCATTGATTGCATTCTAACATATATAATGACCAAGACTGAATCATATTACCTTCATAACCGCGTCGGCATCATCTCTCTTTAATGGAGATAGTATCGAAGGAAAACTCAATATTAATTTTCTCTTCTTATTCACTAAAAATGGCATTTTTTGATTGTCTATATATGAAAAATTGATAATAGTATTATTTTCATTGTTTTGACTATTATTATTATTATTATTGTTATTGTTGTTATTATTATTATTATTATTCTGGTAGGACGACTAATCCACTTATTGAGGCAATTTTTTTTGGGAAAAAATAAGTACATGACAGTCTTTGAGTGCAATGGGATTTGAGGTGAAGAAGAGAAAACAGAAAATATTTAAGTTTGATTTCTATGTCTGCATTATGTCTGCACGCACTACTATTATTATTAGATCAATTAAGGGCCAGATTTAAATTCATGGGTTTATATTTAATATGGATTCATTAATTATTATTCTATTATTGCCGTCTACGGCCTTGAGAATAACTAACAAAGCATAAATAAAGACCCTCTCAGTCCGAGGCGACTTCTTTTCTCCTTGCTTGTCCAGCATGCAATGTGCCATGTGGGATGGACAGGAATTCATCCAGGTGTATTTGAATGAAAGCTTCCGTTCATGGCGTTACCTTTTCTCTTTTATTTTAGTTTTTGGTGTTCTATTTTGTTTTCCTTTCAAGTTGCAAATTATAAAAAAAGTTATTGAATTTTTTTTTTCCTGTCATATCTCAGCCCTTAATCGATATATAGTGATTTATATCGATTATATTAATAATAACCCAAGTCGATTCAGGTTGTATCGAAGGAAATTGATTCCCCCTTTTTTTTTCGAACCCGCCACACGAAAATGCTCCGCTGCGCCACTCGCACGCTTCTCGCGACGAAAACCGTCCCGCTTAAGCCGAAGGTCGCCTTCCAACTCCACACCGCGGGCCGCACCGACCTCGAGCCGCTCCCCACCCAAGCCACCTACGACCCCGAGGTGATCAAGAAGAACCTCGAGTTCATGCTTGTCTCCCGCCGCATGGAGCTGATGTGTGATCAGTGCTACAAGCTGAAGAAGATTCGCGGGTTTTGCCATCTCTACATCGGCCAGGAGGCGATCCCGGCCGGGATGGACAACGTCCTTACGCGGGACGATTGCGTCGTGACGTCCTATCGGGATCACTGCTGGTACCTCTCCCGCGGCGGGACCGTGGAGGAGGTCTTCGGGGAGCTCTTCGGCCGCACCACCGGCGGCAGCAAAGGCAAAGGCGGCAGCATGCACATGTACATGGTGAAGAACAACTTCTACGGCGGGAATGCGATTGTCGGGGCGCAGGTACCCTTGGGGGCGGGCCTGGGGTGGCGATTCGCGATGGAGAACCGGGATGCCCCCAAGAACGTCGCGGTGACCCTCTACGGCGATGGCGCGGCGAACCAGGGGCAGGTTCATGAGGCGATGAACTTTGCCGCCCTCCAGCGCGTGCCCGTGATCTTTGCCGTTGAGAATAATAAGTATGGTATGGGCACGAGCAGCAGCCGGGCGAGCTTCATGACCGAGTTCTACCGCCGTGGGAACTACTTGCCGGGTCTGAAGGTCGATGGGATGGATCTGCTCGCTATCCAGGAGGGGACCCGGTGGGCGAAGAACTACTGCCTCTCGGGTAAGGGACCCGTGGTGCTGGAGCTCGACTGCTATCGGTACGTCGGCCACAGCATGTCGGATCCCGACAGCGTCTACCGCTCCAAGTCTGAGATCCAGAAGACCAGGGAGGAGCGCGATTGCATCACGGCTCTGAGGGAATTCGTCGTGAAGGAAGGCATCATGTCCGATGAGGAGATCAATCAAATGGAGAAGCAGATTAAGAAGGATGTGGATGTGGCGATGAAGAAAGCGGAGAAGGCCGCTTTACCAGACCTGAAGGAGCTCTTCACGAATATCTACCCGGACCAGAGCTACCTGCACCGCACATGCCAGGGCGATGTGTATAAGCTTCCTGGAGAATAAAACGATTGGAAAGCCTAAGTTGTCGGTTTGTTTACTTTACCATGTGGGGAGGATGAATATATGAGAAATTTTAACACTAAACCTCTCATCGTAGAGGTAAATGAATGGATAAAAAGGAAGAGAGGAAATCCAATAGAGCAAGAGGCTCCAGGAAGTATCGCAAAACGTACTTGGCGCATATTGCGTTTTAATTGTTGGTGCAACCTCTTGATCTTGTTCCATACGGGCAACCTAAAGTAGTAGCAAGCTGTTATTTCCATTTTCTGCGCTCGATTCCTGCGTTTTCTCTTTTCCCATGGGTTTCCCCAGTTTTTTTTTCTTAAATTGGACCTGCCCTATGCTGTCATGGGTATGTTTTTTTTTGTGTTATCATTTTAAACGAGACCAAATGAGCCAATGTATTTTTATAAAATTTGAAATAAAACGGAATGAAGCTATATATAATACAAGCAAATGGAAAAAAAATTGACGCGTATAGAAGAATAGGTCGTTCTGGACGAGAAATTGCGTACTATATACAGTCTGTTGGAGAGCCGCAATACGACAGTTGTGTAATGAAAAGTAATTATCCCTCTGTGATTTGGACGTGCAGGCAGAAAGTTGAGGACAATGAAAAACATCCATTTCTAAATTATTTTCCATGTTCGAAGGAAATCGTATTTTTTTTTTAGAATTGCTATTTATTTTTATCGTCAGTGTTCTGAGATACATCTTCCTACTGTCTCAGTTTTAAGCGTTGAGGGCTCTTTTTGGACAGGTATATTCGTGCATAGCTAAAAATGCGGCATCGAATAGGTGTGAACATAAAGATGAAGAGGGGGCGTGTTAATATTTATTAATTAACTAAGTAAATTCGAAGATTCATTGGGAAGAAATTACTATCATTCTTTTGTGACGCGCGTTTTTTCTTTTCCTATCCTTTCACTAATCTTGGATCTCCCTCGAGACGTATTTAGGTGGGGAGGGTGTGTACACTGTCTCTACCTGGGGCGCCATTTTCATGGGTTCGCCCCTTTCATTTTTGGAACTTTTAGAAAAGTATTTCTCTTGAACAATTTTTTTCTTTTCTTTTTTGTTTTCCTTTTCCTCTGTAGACATCAAGCACAATAGGGTGGTCTCTTTTCAAGAGACAAGACAGTGGTAGGAGGTTTCTTTTGGAGCGAGCAGAAGTCTTGGATTATCTCAATGGGACCTTACCAACATCCTTATCTGAAGGCTGTGGGTGGGGTTTGTTTACGTGGCCGCGCATGGCGACCGGTCCTCTTGGTCTCGCTTGGTAGTATTAGGGACTCTACGAGAGGGGGCGCGCTTTGGCTTGGCGCTCGACATCAAATAGCCGCACCCACGGGACCGCATCTCAGAGGCTCTTGGGAAAGCGCTCATCAGCATGATCGCTCTCCGCATAGGGGTCAACGCGATGAGGGCCTTCGCGGGCGTCAATCGCGCGATACCGCAAGGGGGGGTTCTCCGCGGGATAACTCGTCTCAGGCAGACCATCGCGGGGCCTTTTCTTCGACCCACAACGGGCGCCGGGCCTCTTCTTGGAGAAGCCCCACGGATAATGAAAGCACGAGCGATGCCGACGATTACTCCAGCCGGGATACCTTGGCCGAGCCACGCTACACCTTCTGGCAGTCTCTCCGCCGCTATTCACGGCGTAAGATGCCGTTCAATCCGCTGCATCAAATACACAAGTGGGGCGATCTCACGGAGTCGGGCGATCCCGCTAACAGGGGCACCAAACGCTTCTTGTTGGCCATTGAGGAGATGTTCGGCAGATCCAAGAAGCGCAGCGAGAAGATGACAGTTCACCTCTCCGAAGATCAACGTCACGAGATCGTGGCGCGCTACGCATCGACGAGGTGGTGGGGCAGGCTCTACTACCCCTTTCGCAATATTTCCGATCGACAGATCAAATGGTCCCGGAGGATTTCGCGTGTGTTGATGATGGTGATTTTGATATTTGTCTCAATCATCATTTTTGTCCTTTACTTTCAGGAAGTGCGGGTCGTGGGGTTGTTATCGCCAGAGGATAGGCGAGATTATATTCACATAGTGAATGGCATGCGTCTTAGTGAGGTCTATAAGCTTGCGGATGAGGTGTTAGCCAAAGAGGACCCACTGATGGCTCTTCCAGCCGAGGAACGTTGTCATTTGTTTTTGGAGGCGGCACGCGAGAAGAATTGGCATCTTATTGACTGGGAGGTGGAGGCTCGCAGCCGTTACCCGAGGTCGGCTCTAGACGACTTTGACTTGGTGCATTTAACCTACTGGTTGTGCATGACGGTGGGTAGCACTCTAACGGGTAGCTCAACATACTTCACAGATTCGTTTGGTCTGGCGGAGAGGACGAAGAGACAAGAGGCTGAGCTTAGTTCTTTAGAATTTGATCCTAAAGCCTTACCGGAGAAAAAGAAACGGGGGTTCTGGGAGCTCTAATACGGAGTGCGGGGTAAGATGCTGATGATGCTTTACCTCATTATGTTTATCGTTATTTTTTTTTTATTAGTCGTCTGTACTTTGAACGTATTGAAGCAATGATAATACATTGAGAGAAAAGCAATGCGTGTGCTCTACCGGACCTTTTCGATGCCTTGCGTTGGGTTTCTATCCATTTTGGTGATTATTGTTGATAATAGAGGGGGGGGGGAGATGTTCTGTTTTCTATTGCCACTGTCGCTTTCTATTCCATTTTCTCTTTCGTTATGGGAATACGTGCGTTTATCATCATAGAGGGAGCGGTACATATTTCTCCTCGGGTGTCTATTTACTGGTGCAAAAGTGATAGCAGTGCACAAGGTGTTTGTTTCCGAGAGCCCTAATCCATAAATCCACATTCAGAACAAAGACGACGTTATCTTTAGACATCTAGAGATAAAACGAATCAGGAGGAAGAGAAAAACATAGCAAGGAAAAACCCCTTTTAGGTCCCGATCTGTATTGTTCGCTTTTTTTCAAG